GATGTGACTGGCGTTTTAAAACTAAAGCCGTTGATCCACTTACTTCCGAGGCGAGGGATTACTGCCTACTACCTTGCAGTTCGCACTTGGTTGTGCAAAGGCTAGAGGTGCGCCCTCACAATAAAAAAACGCCGAGTGACGCTGGGGACATCTCTCGTACGAAACTCCCAAGGAACTTCGTGATCATGATCATGGAGCTGGCTCATCTTTCCCAAGAGGTTAGTCGTAGTAAAGTAAGTAAGGTGCAGTCTCTTCGTGATGAGAAAAAGCCAGTTAGACTGTTCACTTTGAGGATATCTGTTGCAGAAAGTTCTACAACAACCTAATTCCGTCAGGTGATACTCGCTCATTAAACACACATTCTCAACGATGTATCCACTTCAATACCCAAGCGCCGCTTAAGCCATTGCTTGCCGTCTGTCTGTCAGTCATCATCCATCTTGTTATACATCTGGTGTGAGAGATTGCAATCAGAGATAAATTGTCACAATCACCAAAAGCGATAACTTTATGCTCTTCGCCTCACATCTGGATTCTCCGAATTGTGCGTTTTCTATGCGATTGAATCAGACAAACCAAATACTTCAATGCGTAGGCTTGGTAATCCATCCGTTGAGGCGAGTGACTTGACTTTTAGGTTTCTTTTTTCGTTTATTTTTTAAACGCATCATTATCTTATACAAGATTTTCGGAAAAAAACCCATTTATTCTAAAGTCCGCGAAACCCGGATGAATGCAGAAAACTTTATTCCCACCAACTGAGTAGAATAATTATGAAGATATTGAACTAGAATATATTGATCATGCAAGATACAATCACCTAGGCCATGGGTCAACTCGATGCATACGGGAAAGGAAGTTAATTTTGCGGGTCATTTCGGAGTCGTAGATCCGTTTGCAACGTTCATACATGAATCGTTTCCGCCATCTAGTCGGTTTCTCGTAATACTCTTGCTGCTTGATCGTGTCAATGACTTTGTCAGTTTTCATCAACCTGCAAAAAACAAAAACG